CATGGGTGCTAGGAACCAACCTTGATTTCTCCGAAAGAGCAATACATGTTATTAAATGAGCCACCTCTTTAGCCTCAGGGCTTGGCATTTTGCTTGGTGCACAAAATTATGGAATATTTAAGAAAATATTTGCTGGTCTGGTGACATAGGACTGTCATCCCAGAACCCCAGCACCCCTGAGGGCTGAAGCAGTAGAACAGCAAGTTCAGGACCGTTGCCTGGGCTGCAGTATTAGTTCAGGGCCAGCCTGGGAAACTCAGCAGGGTCCTATCTCAAAATAAAAACTCGGGGCTGGAGAAATGGCTCAGCGGTTAAGAGCACTGCCTGTTCTTCCAAGGGTCCTGAGTTCAATTCCCAGCAACCACATGGTGGCTCATAACCATCTGTAATGAGGTCTGGTGCCCTCTTCTGGCCTGTAGGCACACACACAGACAGAATATTGTATACATAATAAATAAATAAATGTTTAAAAAAAATAAAAACTCAGATGAGGACTGGGGTACAAGTTCAGTGTAGGCCCTAGGCTCAGTCCCTCTCAAAATCATTAATGAATGCAATCATTTACCCCTCTGGTCCCTACCATATGGAAACAAAATATACTGAAACATTTATTGGAAAAAGACAATAAAAGCTTAAGTCTGTTGTGAGCTTGTGTCTCCTAAAAATGGCAAAGAAGCTACACCCTTGATATCTCAACAACATGGCTGCCTAACCAAGACCTGAACAATGACAATACCAACAGATCTGCTAATGTAGAAAGGGAAAAATTTCACAGGGTCCCACCCCTAGATAAAGAACTGACAGCAACTAAGAAATGCTGAGATTGGGAGAAATATTCTTCCCCAGGGATGAGTGCACTAATTGGTTATCCATGAAATCACATACATTCAAGCAACACTGAAAGGACTCATCTGGTCATATACAAGTATGTACATACATACATACACACACACACACACACAGACGCATATGTATATGTGTGGCAATAATAATTGGAAATTTGGAAGGAAGCAAAGGGGGAATGGGGAGGGGAGAGATTGTAGGGAGGAGAAGGAAGGAAAAATAATATATTTATATTTAATTTTTTTAAAATGAGGAAAACAAAAGCTGCTCGGAGTAGTCTAAATTGTAAGGAAAACATGAACTGTATGACGGTCACCGACTTGTGTGACAGTCACTGGTTACTCCTCCATCTTCCTTATTCTGCTGTTCTTCCCTTCTCTCACTCTCCCTTCACCCCTCTCTACCTCGGTCTTTCTTTTTCACGCAATGCTGGCATCAAACCAACAGCCTACAATATGCTAAGCAAATATCCTCGCACTGAGCCACATCCACTGTCCCCAGATATTTTCTTGTGTTTGTTATTTTGGTAAATGTTCACAGTCGTACAAACCACCTCTGAGTAGGTCTCTTGCTTGTGGTTTCATGCCCAAGAGCCAAAGCCCGCTGATTTGACTCTGAGATGACCAAGTCGGAACAGGACAGATGGAGGTCAACTGAAAAGCTCCAAATCAACAGCATTGGGCATAAGAGCCCATGCCTGTGGTCTCAGAGGAGGAGGTGGGGGGACTGGGAACTTAAGGTCATCCTCAGCTACATAGAGAATTCAAGGCCACCTGGGCTACATGAGACCCTTTCTCAATATATGAGAAACAAACAACTCTCCCCCCAAAACATAACTGGGCAGTGGGGGTGCACACCTTTAATCCCAGCTCTTGGGAAGCAGACACAGGCAGATATCTGTGAGTCTGAGGCCAGCTTGGTCTACAGAGCTAGTTCCAGGACAGCCAGGGTTACACAAAGAAACCCTGTCTCAGAAAACCCAAGAGCTGGTGTGATGGTTCAGTGGCTAAGAGCACTCGCTATGAAAACAAAAGGGCTTGAATTCAAACCTCCAGCCCTCCTGTAGAAGCTGGGTGTGGCAACAAGTACCCACGGAGACAGGTAGATCCTGGAGCTTGCTGGACAGCCATCCTAATCAGAATGATGAGCTTCAGAGAGACACAATACTATCTTAGGAAAGGAAGGAAGGAGGGAGGGAGAGAGAGAGAGCAATAGAGGAAGAAACCTGACATCATTCTCTGGCCTCTCATGTCTGAGCACTTAAGACACATGCAATGCCAACCCCCAAATAAATAAACCATACACACATGAAACCAAAAACAAAACAAAAGCATTAAAGTAAGAGAAATATGATACTTAACAAAGGACTTCAAGACTGATTTGATTTGGGGCATTATAAGAAAACATCATCAATGCCCAACTTTACAAGGGTGGGGACCAACAAGACGGTTCAGTGATGGAGATGTCTCCTGCTGAGTCTGATGCCCTGAGTTCTATCATCAGGACTTACAAGGAGAAAAGAGAACTGAATGACTCCTAGAAACTGTCCTCTGGCCTCCACATGTGCACACACACATGCAAGCTCTCTCTCACACACACAACAAATCAGCAAATGTAACAAACTATTATTTTAGGAGCAGCAGAGGTGTCTTAGCAGTGACGAGTACTTGTTACTCTTACAAAAGACTTGTGTTTGGTTCACAGTGTTCCAGACTGGGTGGTTCACAATCGCCTACAACTCCAGTTCTGAAGAATCAGACATGTCTTTTGGCATTTGGGGACATCTGCCCTCACACACACTTACCCACATATAGACATAAGAACTGGGATTAGTGTGCAATGGATAAATAAATAATAAATTTAATTATAAAAAAATAAGTCTTGAAAGATACTTTTGAAAGGGTCCTGTGATTCCTGCCCTACCACCACCACTACCAAGCATCACACTCTCCAGGAGCAATAAGAGTAGACCCTGAGAAGTCTAATATGACAACAGATGGATTGCATGGGAACTTCGGAGGATGAGAAAGAATGTTAATTGCTATGTTGTATACTAGCACAATAATAGATCCTTTTGTGTTATACTTCATTGATCATGAAACGTGTCGGGAAGAGTCGAGGATGATGGCATCAGTTGCAGTTCATAGGAAAGGAAGCTGAAGAGTCACACCAAAATATCAGATCCATTTCTCTTTAAAAAAACAAAAACAAAAACCTCTGGACTGGAGAGATGGCTCAGTTAAGAGCACTGACTGCTCTCCTGGAAGACCAAGTTTGAGTCTCAGCAGCCCGGTAGTTCACAACTGTGACTGGAGTACCAGGGGATCAGATGCCCTCATTTGGCCTCTGAACACACTACATACGTGTTGTACACAGACATACTTCAGGCAAAATACCCCTCACATAACAGTTTAAAATAATTTAAATTCACCTTAGTCTGATGTGGAAGCTCACTGTAATCCCAGGATTCTTGAGGCTGAAGAGTTTGGGAAGATTATCCATGGGTTTGAGGCTAGTCTAATCTACAGAGTGAGACCTTTTCAAAAAAGAAAGAGGAGGAGGAAGAAAAATGAGAAGGAGAAGAAGAGAGAGGGAGAGAGAAGAAGGAGGAGGAGAAGGAGGAGGAGGAGGAAGAAGAAGGAGAAGGACAAAGAAGAGGAGGAGGAGGAAAATAAGGAGGAGGAGGAGGAGGAGGAGGAGGAAGAAGAAGAAGAAGAAGAAGAAGAAGAAGAAGAAGAAGAAGAAGAAGAAGAAGAAGAAGAAGAAGAAGAAGAAACAATGAGCTAGGCTCAGCAGGTAAAGGAAGATGCTCGCTGCCCTGTCTGATGACCTGAGTTTGATCCCCATGACCCATATGGCAGAAGGAGAGAACTGACTTGGACACGTTACCCTCTGACCTCTGCATTTGCTCCCATGCACACACTCACCCACGTGTACACACAGAGAAAGGGAGAAGACAACACACATTTCTAGAATCATCTTCCATTCAATGAAGGATGGGTGACTTCAGAAGGCTTATTTACAGTTTTATCTGGAAAAAAACTAACCACTTGATCTTGTGTTAACAAGACAGCTCAACTTGATATGTGGTTCCTGACAATCAAACCTCAGAAACAAATTCCATCTCCGCATGAAGTACAGAAGGAGCCACAAACCAAACCTCAAAATAGATTCCCTTAGAAAACACCCTTTCTAAAATAACTTCCTTCCTACATGAGCTCTGACGAGGACTGTGATCCTCCCTTCCACACAGTCCCACGTTGTAGCCTTATCTCTGAACTCTCTGAAGGCCGGGTTTCCCCATCCCCTCACACACACACACACTTTTTTTTCCTTTTTAAGATAGTATCACGCTATAAGTTCAGGCTGGTTTCAAACTCTTGTGTGCTGGGATTACAAGTACGTCATCAGGCAGGTCTTAAAATAAACTTTTAATTTAAAATTTTTATTTTTGCCATACTAGGTTTTAAACCCAGGGCCTACACAAGCCGGCATGCACTCTACTAGTGAACCACATCCCTGTCTGCTGTCTCCTTCAAACTCCTTTTTATGGTTCTATGATTACGCCCAAGGGCACATATCGATTATGTGATACCTTTCAGAGATTCCTATTGAGTTTAAGTTATCTGTAGCCTTTGTATAAGGCAGATATAGTTAGTGAAAATATAGCCACTTGAGCTGGAGAGGTGGCTTAGCATTAAAAGTGCATATTGCTCTTGCGGAGGACCCAAGTTCAGTTCCTGGAATGGCACAACCACCTACAACTCCAGGGAACCCAATGCCCTCTTCTTGATTCTGTAGGCACTGCACTCATGTGTACATAGCCACCCAGACGGTTTAAAAATAATGAAAATAACTTTTTTAAAATTTGAAATAAAATAAAATATAGCCATTTTAAACGATCACGTTCTGTGCTCACTTAGCATCAAATCTCATTTAAAGTAAAATTTAATTCGTTCAAAGGTCAATGGATTCTGCATTTCTGACAGAACCCTACATTGTGCTTTTTTTTTTTTTTTTTTTTTTTTCTACCAGAGGAGAGAGCAAGAGACTTTGCGACTGACTTTTCTTCCCTCTCTTTTGTGTAGCGCTCACCCAGGGGGTCAGGCAGTAACTAATGCCAAAGAAACATCAAAATAGAAAGTGCTAGCGTGTGCGGTCATGCAGCCGTTCAGGCTGCCTGAAGATTAGGAAACTGTTCAAACATCAGATCGCCGGCAGGCGTCTCAGTCCGGGCCTGTGCAAGGAGCACGCTGGGAGCGCTTTGGTGTCCTAGCTGAGGGCGAGATTGGGAACCAGGAAAGCCACCCGCGCGTGCGGCAGCGGGTGCCAGGCTGGCTGAAAGACCCTTCAGCTGCGATCGTGCCCCCGTGGTGGGACGTGTGCACTAGGCTCTAGGTACGGGCAGGACACGTGCTCTGGGCCCCCCGGGTCCTCTCGTGCCCAACCGCAACCACGGAATCCTCTCCAGAGTTCTAGAGAGACGTTAGCGCCGGGCAGGGGCTTTGCTAATTGCAGGAAGTGAACACGAGGAAGAAGTGGCAGAGATCAAGAAGAGGAGGGGAGGAGGAGCAGCAGCCCGACTGCAGAGCTGTAGAGTCGCGCACTGCCACAGCGGAGGTTGAAGCTCGGCGATCCTCCTGTTCTCTGGGGTCCCAGAGGCTGCTCAGCCCCGCTCAGCTCAGACACTCGTCTGTCCTCTCCCGGTCTTCATGGCTTCTCCGGATGACCCTCTGCGCTCAGGTAAAGTGGCACCACCGTGCACCTCCCGCACTTGGAGCGTGACCACCCGCTGGGTTCTTGAGATTGAACCTCAGTCACCCCTGAGAGTGTTTCAGGACACCAGCGCCTGTGCCAGATGTGTGCCAGGCTGGATGGGGACGGTGGTGGCACACTGTCCTACCTTTCCCAATCCCACCTCTGTGCTTCCTCCCCTCTGTGAGCGGCAGCTGACCTGCTCGCCTCCTACACACTGCAAGGTGTGCGTGGTCCCTCTCCCCACGCGGAGGCCCAGCCGAGCGCTTTTGTTCTGGGCCACGCGGGTGCCAGGTTGAAACAAGTCAGTCAACCTTTGGCAGAAAAGAACATAGGTTTCTGCATCCCCTCCCGGGCTCTCCCTTGCTCCCCACTCACTTCAAGGGGAAGCCTTCTTGCTTCCCCTTCTTCCTCCCTGGCTCCACTTTGCAGAGAGGGTTTGCTTCTGTTTTTAAGTCTTACCTCTCCGAGTTCTATAAACTATTATACTCTCCATAGAGCCAGGAAGGCGAGCCCACCTTCACAGTCCCCACCTGTGGAGGCCCCTAGTCCCATTAGTACATAAAAACGTTGTGCTTTTATACAGTGAGGCCAGCATCTAGATTTTTCTGTCGCTTCTCCCTGCGTACATGTAAGTAAAATTCTCTTTAAACTTCATCTTCCAGGAATTCTCTCTGTCCTCCTGCAACCTAGCTAAAAACTTCATGGGTGTTTGTGGGACTTGCAGGATGAATGGATGGTGTCCCTCGGAGTGCACTGGGTCTCTCTGGTTTTGTTGAGGTTGGAAGCTCTGATGAAAGCCACCCAGAACCAGGTCGGTCTGGACTGCTGGGATAGATGTGACTGCTTGTGTTTCATATGTCATTTCTCGAGCTGGAGCAGGGACAGAGTTCAGTTGTTCAGCCCCGACTAGCCGCTTGAGCCACTTGACCTGACTGAGAGGATACCATGTATCTGGCAGTGGCCAGAAGATTAAGACCAATGGCTACGTTGACATCTCGAAGGACTGACTTGGGGAGGAGGCTGTTTACTGGTGACATCGAAGAGAGAACAAAATTATTCAAGTGTGGCATGGTCAACCGGCTATCAGTTGAAACGAACTGGCCATCCCTCCCATTGTTCGCAAGAACAGAATGGGAAATGAAGGGAACAATCCTCTCATCCTGGTCCTACTCCTAACACTACCCCTTCCTGTGCTGAGAGCCTCGTTGCTAAGATGCCAAGGGGGTGTTTGGGGCTAATTTTAGTCGTAATGGTTCCAGACTTCTTAAATGGTACTGGCGGGGGATTTAAAAGACGGAGAGAGGGAATTCACTGAATGAGGATACAGGTAACATTTGCCTGAGCTGCACCCCAGCATCACTGGCACCAGAGAAAGTGTGAGTGTGTGTGTCTGTGTGTGTGTGTGTCTGTGTGTGTGTGTGTGTCTGTGTGTGTGTAGGGAAGCTGGAAGTCAGTTCAGCAATGATAGAGTGTAAAAAGCCTCAGGTAAAATGCCTCCCAAGCAAGCATGAGGACTTGCGTTCTGATCCCCACCACTCATATCAAAAGTCAGGCATGGTGTGGTCCACCTGTAACCTCAGGGCTGGAAGGACTGTTTGACTCAGACAGAGGATAGATTCCAGGAGGTCGCTGACCAACCAGCCAAGGCAGATGGATGTGTTCCATTTTCAGAGAGACCCTGTCTCAAAGAAAATGTGGAGAGAGGTTAGGGAAATGGCTGTGTGGGTAAAGAGTGGCTGCCCAAGTGTTGAGAACCTGGCTTCTAATCTGAGTTTAAATTCTCAGCACACACATAAAAACCTAGGCATGGCACCCATGCCTGTAACCCTAGGGCTGTGGAGAAGGGGTGGAGACAGGAAGATCCCTGGGGCCTGTGGGTCATCAGCTTAGCCCCAGGTTCAGGGAGAGGCCCTGTCTCAAGTGGGTAGAGGGTGACAGAGCAGGGTGCCTGCCATCCTCCTCTGGGCTACGTGCACACATACACAGGTGCATATGCCTGCACACACGCGTGTGTATACAATGTGCACACACACACACACAGAGGACAGAGAGAATTAATGAAGACACCCTAAGTTGACTTGTGGTCTGTACACACAAAGGAGCACACATGCACATACCCACATGAACATGTGTGTATACCCCCACACAAAGCCGTGTGTATGTATTTGGTGGTAGATAAATGATCTTAGGAGACAGTTACAGTATTATAAGGTTAGTGTTGCAGCTATGGTCTTAATTAGCTTGATACATATAGAATAGATGCCCAAAACTGCAGTAAAGGGACCATCAGATCTCCGTATGTGTGGAATGGTAGGAACGGAGCGTGTCCTGTAGGCAGTCTGTCTCTCACTTCACGAGGTAGAACCCAAACCTCTATGTGAGCCCTTCGGGGAGAGATGGACTGGGGCTCCCCACAAAGGAAGAAGGCCTCCTTCAGGGATCCTGTCGGCAGGGAATGGTGAAGATCATATTCGGGCCTGGGAGATATTAAGAATATCCTTTCCCATCCTGGGAATCTGTCAATCAAAGAGGCTCCTCTATGTAATACATGTCTTGACACATGAGCGCTTCCATCCAGACACCCCACCTGGCCCTTCCATTTCTGAAGTGCAAACACAGGTGGTGTCAATGTGTACAACCGGTTGACTGAAAATTTCAGCTCTCCAACTCAGACCACGCTCTTCCTCTGGGCTTTCTGCCCCCACCTCCCGACTGGAGTTTCCACACTGAAGCAGGCTTCCTGTTGACGGTCCTCCAAAAGGTGGTCAGAGCGAATTCTTGATCAGTCATATCCGTCACCCTCCTGCTTGGGCTCACTTCTCGACAAATTCTCAGACCCTGGAAGGTTTCTTCTGAGCCATCCATCCTGCTACACCCTTACCGGTCCCTTCAGCACCTTTGGTCGCTTGCTTGGCATGACAGCCACACGGCCACACTGCCTCCTTTCTATCTTTTGAAAACTTCCCTGTTCTGTGCCTCCTGCTCTGGCCCCCCAGGTCCCTCCTATTTCTCCAGACTTCAAAGACCCAGCCTAGTCCCTGATCACTCACTCAGTTCTCCTGGAACCTTCTTTCCGCTGTTTCTAGATTCCATCTGGCCAGCGTCACTCTCTCCATTGGAAAGTGAGCTCCAGCTAGAACCCGAGTCTCTCTTGCCTGTAGCTCTTCCCTAGCAACCACGACAGTACTCAGTACACACAAAGCCCTGTGTAAACATATTTTACTTCAGCAAGTGGAGAAGTGAATGGATGGATGGATGACACAGAATTTTAATGAAATTGCTTCAAACTGTGAGAAAAAAATCTTCCTGTGTTCGTTCCTGAGGAGTTTATTCATCAAGTGAAGTATGTCAACCAAGTTCACCTTGCAAAGTGTGTGTGTGTGTGGGGGGGATCTGTTCCCTCACACACATAATGAAGACATAGCTCAGTGGCAGCGTGTACTTTGCCTGCTATACATGAGGCCCAAGGTCCAATTCTTAGTCTGCCTCTCTCTCTGTCCCCTCTCCTGCACATACGCGTGTGCGCACGCGCACACACACACACACACGCATGCACACACACATCATTATGTTGTGTTAACTAAGTTTTTTTAGACTTATTGATTTTTGTCTATGTGTATAAATGTTTTGTCTGCATGTATGTATGTGCCTGTGACCTGTGGGGGTCAGAAGAGAGTATCAGACGCCCTGGAACTGGAGTTATGGATAACTGTGAGCCACCATGTGGATGCCAGGAACTGAACCTGGGTCCTCTGCAAAAGCAACAAGTGCTCTTAACCACTGAGCCATCTCTCCAAGCCATGAAGTTAACTTGTGTTTTATGTATATGTGTATGGGCATTTTGCCTTCATTTATGGGCACCACCTGTGTGCTTGGTGCACCCAGAAGCCAGAAGAGGGTGTTGGGTCCTCTAACTGGAGTTACAGTTGGTTGTGAGCCTCCATGTGAGTGCTGAGAATTGAACCCAGGTCCTTTGGAAGAACAACTGGCATTCTTAACCACTGAACCATCTCTCCAGTTCCCATGAAGCTAATTAAAAAAAAAAACTTGCATATTAAGAAACTTCACAAGATGCTTGAGGTCGCAGGGAAGACAACGGCAGTGATGGTGAGAGGCTATCCGGCCGTCATTCTCGGCCTCCCTCACTGACCTGCCACTGTCTGTCAAATGCGACTAAAATCTGGCTGTTCCTGTTTATTTGGATACCAAGACCTTACAAAGAATGGCCAAGTGAGGAGGTGGATGCTCGGTTACCTAAGCACCCTGGTGGCTGAGTACAGTCATGTGACTTTTCCCTCTGTTTCAGGGTCCCATTTTCTCTGCATAACCTGGATGTTTTGTGGAAGCCCTTGTCCAGGTCCTAGCCATCAGCCTAGGACTCTAGGAATGTGCTTTTGAAAGTATCTCACCTGTAATCAGCCTCCCTTTACCCTCCTGTAGGCCAAATCCTGGGCAAACCACTTCCAGCAGAGCTGGTCCAGCCTGCTATGTCTGCGTGACTACCAAAGCAGAGGGGGTGGGCATCTGTAATTTTCCATCTCCTTCTCTGCGGCATTTCCCAATTTCATTTTATTTTCCTTTTGTTGTAGTACTGGGGGTACTAGAAATGGGACTTGGGGCCTTGCTTCTGCTGGCCAAGCGCTTTATCACTGAGCTACACCCCAGTCCTCTTTTTATGTTTTGTTTTGAGGCAGGGTCTCCCTAAGTTACACACCGACCTTGAATTCGCTTTGTCGCTCAGCGGGGCCTTCATTTTCCACCCTCCCGCCTCAGCCTTGGCTGGCAAGCCTGGGCTACGAGGCCTGCTTTTCTTACTTATAATGCTTCCTAACGTCACTGTCCTCTCCCGCTTCTGCGTGTCCCCTCACATCCTCTCAGCTCTTCCCTGATCGTTTTGATTCTTGTCACCGGGTCCGCAAGGGAAGGCCTTCTCCAAGGACCCCATAGGAACACACCTGTTTGACGCAGGCCCCCTCCCCAGCTAG